AACTTTATTCTTTCTAGTATATTCGTTTCTTGGAGAAAACTGCATAATGAGGAGCTTCATAACTTGTACTCTTCTCCAAGTATAGTTAGAACGATAAGTCAAGGAGGATGAGGTGGGCAGGGCATGTAGCACGAATGGGGAGAAGAGGAATGCATATAGGATATTGGAGGGAAAGCCAGAAGGAAAGAGACCACTGGGAAGACCAAGGCGTAGGTGGATGGACAATATTAAAATGTATCTTAGAGAGATAGGATGGGATGGTATGGATTGGATTGATATGGCTCAGGATAGGGACCAGTGGAGGGCTCTTGTGGATAGGGTAATGAATCCTCGGGTTCCATAAAATGCCGGGAAATTCTTGAGTAGCTGCAGAATTGGCTTCTCCTCAAGAAGGACTCAACTCCGTAAGTATTTTTTTTATTGCTAGTGGGGTGGGACTAAGTCCCTTGTACTGCGGCCACTTCTGGACTATTGTACCAGCCTCAGATGATAGGTGAGGGTGATTATGGAGCAATTGGTGGAATGAAGATTGGCATGGAAAACCGAAGTACTCGGAGAAAATCTGCCCCGGCGCCACTTTGTCCACCAAAGACCCCACTTGACCAGACCCGGGATCGAACCCGGGCCGCCGCGGTGCGAAGCCAACGACTAACCGCTTGAGCTATGGCGCGGCCCCAACTCCGTAAGTAAGTAAGTAAGTTAGTATGTTCGTTTCCGTTTGCAGAGAAGATGAAAGCGAACCAGCAGAGGAAAGAATGGATGAGTGAACGAATGAGGGATGAATGGATGAAAAGAAATGTAACAGCAGGTTCTATAAAAAATATATAATTTTTTACCAACTTTATAATTATCAGTTCCTTGAGAAAATATAGGAATTAGGTAGTGTAGGCAACATTTACTGACCTCGAGTGACCAATCACTATGCAATGCCTCTGCCGCAATCCTGTTGTTCCGTAAGTACACAGTCTCCTGAACAATTCAAGTTTTCATGATTTATATTTATCTTGTGCCAAATATGAGTAAACAGGTCATCGGCCAGACTGACGCGACAGGGAGTGACGCTGATGTTTTGGGGGCAGCCTGGATAATGACTGGCTACGGGGTGGACGACCACACAGGCCCTGGGGCCCACCTAGCTTCCTACCCAATGGGTACCGGGGCTCGTTCCCCGGGGGTAAAGCAACCGGGGCATGAAGCTGACGATTCACCTCCAGCTAGTGCCGAGGTCAAGAAAAAGTAGGTCTATACCTCCACTTCTTCATACGCCTTCATGGCGTAGTGCTTAATTAGTTAAGCCGATGTTTTGGGGAAAGTTGCGAGTTACGTCTGAAGTGATCACAGCGGTTTCTAAATCTGTCTTCTAGATTATAAAGCCCTGTAGGCTGGTAAGAAGCAACCGACATTTCAGAGAAACATGTAACCTACATTTTTACACTTGCAAGTCTGTTTCATACCGGTTTGGTCCTTGGCCTACTCTTCGACCCCCAAAATGGAGACAGTATGTTCTTCCGAAACTTCGGTTATCTTTCACCGGACTTCTTGTCGTTATAGCCCAGAAGACGAAACCCTTCAAGGGAGTTATTTATATAAGATTCATGGTTCACGGAAATTGCTTAGCTGGTCACAATATTGGACCCCTTTTATGAAAACCGAAATTTCATTGCCTTTTTCACAAAAGCCCGCTACTGGACTGTATCTGAGAAAGGCAAATCCAGCTCACACGCTCACATTCTTTAAAATCTTTTTTAATATTATTCTCCTACGTATACCTTAGTCTCCCAAGTGTTCTCTTCACTTGGGATTTTCTGACTAAAATTCTGTATCCATTTATCACATCCACTGTCCGGAACTCCTGTGAGGTGCATTTACTAAAATCCGGTTGTAGGACATGAAACTTCGGCAATACTGGACCATAAGAACCACTACTTCACACCTGAGCTCAAATTAAAATGATTTGCCGGTATTTCAGAAGAAGGGAGTCTGGATAGCTCAGTCGGTACAGAAACTACGCTACGGTTTCGACTAGCAGGGGACGGGGTTCGATTCTCAGCAGTGGGAAGAGATTTATTTTCTTCACACATCCAGACCGGCTATGGTGTTCGACCGGCCATCCGTCTAATGGGCATTGGGGGTAGAGCGGCCAGGGCATGAGGCTAACAACGCACTCATATCTAGAGTCCAAATTAATAATGCACTGAGCAATGTGTTCAGTCTCCCATAAATCTCCATGGCATGCTGCTTAATTAAACAGAGGGACAACTTTACCTTTGTCTTCGTCCGTTTAGTTCATGCGCTAGATAATAGTTTTAACCATTATCTGTAAGTCACCACAGAACTTTACCTGTCTCGCAGGGCTCTGAACCCAGACCACCTGTCCCCTCATACACTTGCACCTGACCACTCGTTTGCCACACCCCCACACAGGGGCATTATATGGCACGCGACCAGCAACCCCTAGAAACTTGCCCTCATGCCCGTACAAAAGTAAAATTGGTGCTCCAGTCCTTAATCTGTCAGTCCCTTCTGAAGACCCCTGTGGAACTCTAGGTTACTGCTACCGGATGTGACGTCACGCTAATGCAACCCGATCTCATGTGAGTCTCAGTGACGTCACTCATACATCTTGACTCTATTAGGTTTAAATTTTGTTGCAACGAATCAGCTGCTGGTGGCGGTATACAGCACAGACAAATATTACACCGTCTCTTATACTATGGGTATCGAAAATCCTTTTCCTTGAAGTAAAGCCGTCTAAGCGTGAAGCTGACCACTCACTGCCATCTAGTACAGAAGTGAAGAACGCGTGAAGCCACATTTCCACCCCTATAGACACATTCCTAGCATGGTGAGTTTCTTAATTTGGAAAGGTAATTTGGGAGGAATGATCAAGTCAAGGAGGATGAGGTGGGCAGGGCATGTAGCACGAATGGGGGAGCAGAGGAATGCATATAGGATATTTTGGTGGGAAAGCCAGAAGGAAAGAGACCACTGGGAAGACCTACTCGTAGGTGGTTGGACAATATTAAAATGGATTTTAGAGAGATAGGATGGGATGGTATTGGTTGGATTTATCTGGCTCAATATAGGGACCAGTGGAGGGCTCCTATGAACACGGTAATGAACCTTCGAGTTCCATAAAATGCTGGGAAATTCTTGAGTAGCTGCAGATTTGGCGGCTACTTCAGAAGGGCTCAGCTCCATAAGTAAGTAAGTAATTTGGAAGCTTACAGAGAGAGGCGTTTAATTTTATTAATTTAAACAGGGCGGACTGCATGAGAAGGAGCCAGTAAGGACTTGGAACATCTGAACCATCTCAGCATTTGCTTAAAGACGCAGGAAAGCCATGAACATCAGCGTTGAGATGTCCGGTAGCAGGACCTTCCGGATAGTACTGACTTCTAGCCTGCATCCTGTGAAGCTGAGGAGTATATAGGCAATCTGAAGTTTCGCTGACGTGTGTACTGTGACTTCACTGCGTCAGAAACATAATATACCCACAGAAAACAAACTGTTCTTCCTTTACAGACACAGTTTGGTTAACTGTGTCGAAAAGGAATACTCATGAGAGACTCGTGAACACAATATGTGGGTAGAAGTGAGCGTTAAAGCAGGTATATATGGTTACCACTATGTTTTACAGAGTAAAGAGGATACTGATAGACGAAATTGTACTTTATTTGTCGAAACCAAGGGATAACAAATTGACACGGACGCCATGATTGGATTGGGGTCTTGGGGCCAACTGAAGCCTGGAGCAGGTGAGCTGAGGAGGCTCCAGCGCCGACAAATTTCGGCGCCTGCACGGCGTCGCCAAATATCGCGACGCCACACTTCGCTTCTCTCGGCGCAGCCCGTTTCTAATTGGTGCCACCGCAGGGAGGTCTGGCGGTAAGCTAAGCGAAGTGATGCTCAAGGCGCTGCCTGCTGAGGTAGGATGGACGCGGCAACGCAGCTCTCCAGACACTTGCCAGAACAAGAGTAAATCCTGCGTCAGAACTAAAACTGTCCCTGTTCCCAAGCACCACGCCATAAAGGTGTATGCGGGACGGGTAAGGACGGTTCCATACATTCTGAATTTCTTCCGTCGACAATCAAACAAATGTCATTGAATAAACTAAAGGAAACGGCATTAAATAAGCCACAACCGATTGAGAACTCGGCTTTCCAATTGGTCATTCAATATCCGTTTCCCATTCGCTACTGATTAGCACAAGTAGCTGACAAAACGTAGATAAACAGGTTCAGAAATATGATATATGAGGTTTCACAGCGGTAAAAAAAAACAGATCTCCCGGATGTAGCACCGTATAATTTAGAGAAATACCAGTGTTTCAGAGGGACCGATTGACTCCATCTTCAGGGTATAAGAATAATTTTTATGTCCTGAAGATTAAGGTAGCAGGTTCCTCCGAAACATTTGTATCTAACTAAAAAGAAGCATACACGGCTTCACACCCCACAAAAACATAATCTTGAAGGTAAGACATGAACTTCAAACGGACCACATCGCTTTCCTTAAATTCATCATTCAAAATCGCCATCTAATGAGATGTTTTATAATTTTTGCAGTTGATATGGTGCCTTTAAATAAGCTCGGAAAGAAACAAAATAGCGAGTAATCATCATGATCGAACTTCGTGGTCGAATGGATAGCATTGCTGCTTCGTATTCGGAAGGTCCCGGGTTGAAATTTCGGTCAAGACTGCTATCCTGACCTATATTTTTCGTGGTATTCCTCAGTCCCCCCGACAAATATCTCGCCAGTGCCTAAGATACCAACATCATTACGGTAATAACGAACATAAAAGGAACGCAATGAAGAAACCGGCCATAGGATACCAAAATTAAAACCATCCAAGCATCGGCAACAATAAGTTAAAAACATCTATATCCATAAATATCCTAGTTAATTCAGTAGAAACAGACAAGCGACCACATACAACAATGTACACCCAATATACACCCACGTCATTATAAAATAAAAAAGGAAATCTACTGACCTGAAAATCCTATGTTTGCGGAGTAGTGCCTGGGAGAAACCACGAGTGACGTGAGTGACTTATCTAGTTGTTGCAGCTGTTGCTGTCTTTTAAAATTCCTGAAACAGGAACAAATGCTCCTGAACGCACTGGTATATCTTTCAAAATGACTGTGACTAACAATGGCATTTATAAAATGGCCGTGAATTGACATGATTATATCTGTCGAGAAATCAAGTCAAACTGTTATTCAGTTTTAATGTTTCCCACCCTTCTTTACCGTTGTGCTGAATACGCGACACCCTCTATCCGCTAAAGTTAGCACTAACTTCGCCGACAAGGGGAGGTCGCTCGGTCGGTATAGTTCGCTTGTGGACTAAACCACGGAGTTTGCTTTTCGCGATTTACTTTACAACGGCCAGAAACGTCATCCAACGGACGGAATTTCCAAAGCCGTTAAAGAAATGGCTACAGGTAAATATCACATCAGAATCTAGGTAATGAACAATCAGTGAGGTACGAACCTACGATCTATGAGAGAGAGTCCCTTCACTCGAAGCGATGTGTCCAGTGCCTGGTTCTGAAGTGGGGACTCCAGCAGTCCCTTCTTCTGTTTCTTGTACTTTCCGAATTCCATCCTCTTAAGATCACAACCTCGTCTGCAACACACAAATTTTCGCATGTAGAAATCCTTCCTTCCTCCCGTGGTCAATGACACATTAAATTAATTAAATTCAATTCAATTAAAGTAAGATACCTTGACGATCAGGTATCCCTCAAATGTTCATGCGACTCCAACGTTCATCACAACAGATTCATAAGTATGTTTACCCGGAGGGCGATATGAACAGACATTTGTAATGTTAAGGGCCGCTATATGAAAATTATTAAAGTTCATTTAGCTCCGGTTCCTACAGTACCGGTAACAATAACAAGATTACGTACCAAACAATGAAATGGACAAAGGGTAAGTTGTCCCTGTGCTTAACTAATTAAGCACTATGCCATGAAGGCGTATGGGGAAGTGGATGTATAGAGCCACATTTTCTTGACCTCAGCACTAGTTGGAGTTTTTTTTTCTAGTGGGGTGGGACTAAGTCCCTTGTACTGCGGCCACTTCTGGCCTATTGTACCAGCCCCAGATGATAGGTGAGGGTGATTGTGGAACAATTGGTGGACTGAAGATTGGCAGGGGAAACCGAAGTACTCGGAGAAAACCTGCCCCAGCGCCACTTTGTCCACCACAAATCCCACTTGACCAGACCCAGGATCGAACCCGGGCCGCCGCGGTGGGAAGCCAGCGACTAACCCTTGAGCTATGGAGGTTGGAGGTTAGTCGCATAATCGAAAAATTAATTTGAAAGGATCTGCAAGGAAGTGGGCGTGGCATAATTTAAGTGATTTATCTCGGCATTTGCCTAGAGGAACTTAAAACAAAACACTTATGTGCCGAGATTTTAATTCGGGCATTATCGACTATAAAGACTGATTGCTAACCACTCGACAGCAACGTTTGATCATCACTATGCTGTGACATAACCCAGAAGATCATATTCTAAATTATAACAAAATTAAGATCTCAGATCTCATATTGCTGCAGGATACTTACTGGAGGGCTCGGTGACGCAGGGTAGGGGAGACAGGAGACCCATCTAGCGGGCAGGAATCAGACGAGTTGAGAAGCCACCGGGTCACACAGGCCGCATGAAACTGATGGCCGCATGGTAGTGTTACCACCTCCTGCCGAACCTGAGGCACAAAAACCGGGTCTAGTAACACACGTACGAGAATTATGGGGGCAATATCTCTCGCTGGAACGAACAAAGCGAAGCCCACGTCAGATTAACCAAAATTTGGAACTAGAAAACATGGGAGACCCAATGTCTCACAACCCTATGGGCCATTTTATTTTATTTGTATTTATTTTATTATTTTTCAGTAAATAAAGTAAAGCTATTCCTGTACCAGGCCGTGAAGGCCCAATATGGTTGTGAGATGTTGAGGCTCCCACATTATCTAGACAATCGGCTCAAAGATAGCGGTAAGGTTGTCAGCCTTACGCGCCGGTCGCGCTTTACTCCCCAGGAAAATTATTTAATTAATTCCTGGTACTCATTTCTGGTAGAGGCAGAGTCGACCCCAGCCATAGTGAGGGACATCATCGGGACTTGAACCCGCGACCTTTCGGCTTGTAGTATAGCTCCTCAACCAACTACGCTACCGCGTTCAGCCTTCATCAAAAAATTAAATTGATTGATATGAAATTCGCGTATATCCAAATACAATCTGAGGTCTCGTGCAATTATTTCTTCAAACGGCCTAGTTCATGGGTACAGTCAGACTCTAATTAAATAACTTACTATCTAACCAAATAACTAACTACATGGAACGGCGTCCTTCTATATCCAAGCAAATTATTTACACATAAACCGGTTGTCTGGTTTGACTTTACAATTTTATAATAAAAACGGCCCATATATGTCTGATGTTTAAAGACGAATCACCCTGTATATGTCTATTTGTGTGAGGCCGGGCACAAACGTACCTGATAGCGTGTGAGGCACAGACAACACTGCTGCCCTCTGTTGAGCAAGGCATGACCTTTGCAGACTCTCAGTGCTCGTAACTCTGAGATAAGCTCCTCAGATACCCTGTAAGAAGGCAAAGGAAATTCTGCGAAGTTATAAAGAAACAAAGATTTGTTAAATTGGTGCAGATACAACTGTACTTGTAACCTTACTTCATTACGACATGAAGACTATGGAGAATTCTTAACGTCGACATTGGATGGTGATGAGTGGTCAGCTTCACCTCCAGCCCGCTTTAATTCCAGGGTGAAAGGGACCTCGATACCCACCGACTGGACTTTATAGAGAAGAGAAAAATCCCTGCCCCTGTCAGGTATCGAACTCAGATTCCCGGATGTTCAGCCTAATAGTAACCTAGTCACTGTAATGACTGAACGCTACCGACATTTGATTACTTGTATATCTCTGAAGCACCTCGTGTCTTCCTTTATGTTACGTACCGTATCGAAACATCAGCGAGTCAAATCATTAATCGATCATTGTAGTCCAGTGATCAGCACTCTTGCAGTGTCTATACTGACTAAAATTTCCTCAGTTTCTCCAGACAAATACCGAGATAGTGTCCCAAATTAGGCCGTGAACGCTTCCTGCTACATCCTCTCTAATTCATTATTCACTAATTATCCTATCATTCGAAGTTATAATCTAAGCTACTGACGGTGTTTTTTTTTTTTTCCTTGGCACTACAGCCCCAGTGGGCCTAGGCCTATCTCCATGAACTTCTCCGTTCACTTTGGTTTTTCTAGACCTTACACATTCGGTAGGACTCCTTGGGCTGGTGATCAGCTCGTCTCAAGGCCTCTACCTGTATACAAACACAGAAAAAGGCACACACACACACACACAAACTAAACATCCATGCACTGAGTGGGATTCGAACTCACGATCCCGGTTTCCAAGCGAGCGAAGACAGTACATGCCTTAGACCGCTCGGCTACCGTGACCGGCCGACTGTGGCTTTAGCCTACATAATTACTAAACAGGGAAATTATGTCGCAGTGTTTGTCCATGTGTCACAGTGTTAGGATGGTAACCAAAGTAATATTATCCTCAGTTATTTACAAGAGAACCACAAGATGGTAATCATGTTTCGGCCATTATCTGTGTCATCGTTTGCCGAAAAATTATTATGCGTATGTTATCGGACTGTCTTTCCAGAAATGTTCAAGTTCGCAGCATGCAAATTCAATGAAGTATCAACTTCAAAATATCTGTCAAGAGCTAAGAGTGAATCGGTGTAAGGGCTACCTATGAAATCCGTAGCTAAAGGTGGTAGTTGTATAATCTTTCAGTTGAATTTTCAAACAGAACTGAACCACCAATGTTTTTTTTTAATTCGCTTAGTGGGGGGTGGAGTCCAACTGGGTCCACCAGGCACAGCGGCCACTGACTGGCCTATTGTAGCTTGCCCCGGACTATTATGATGATGGAGAATTTGGTGGAATGAAGATTGGCAGGGAAACTGAAGTACTCGGAGAAAACCAGCCCCATGCCACTTTGTCCACCACAAATTCCACTTAACCAGACCCCGGGATCGAACCCGGGCCGCCGCGGTGGGAAGCTAGCGACTAACCGCTTGAGCTATGGCGCTTTCTACCACCACTGCTTTGTTGAATGAGCTAAGATTATCATAAACGGAATAAAGTAAGAAATAATATAGAAATTATTCGGAAAAAAACACGGAAATAGTTTAATATAGAGATTAGGCTACGCGCTAGACAACTTGGATTCGATTTCAAGCATTGATAGAGCTTTACATCCACACAGCGTCCGGTGGGTAGCGGGGGATATTTCCCTGCGGCTATGAAGCTGACCACCCACCTTTATCTGTGTTGAAGGACCAGAGTTATTTCTCCACTTCCCCATACGCATTCATGACGTGGTGCTTAGTTAAACTAGTACCTAAGTATGAGAATGTTGGATTCTTACCTGAAAGCAGAGACCCTTAACGAACGACGCCAAGTATTTTAAATAGTACGGCGTTAATCCATATGATTGAGATATTGGCACTTAGAGTGGATAAGAAAGTACAAACACTGAATATGGCTACCACAAATGCAAAGGCAGGGTAAACAGTAAAATTAAGTGTAAAGTAAGCAAAGTAAAGGTATCCCTGTAACAGGCCGTGGAGGCCCAAATGATTGTGAAACGTTGAGGTTCCCACATTTTCTAGACAATCGACTCACAGATGGTGGAAACGTTGTCAGACTTACACGCCGGCCGCCCTTTACCCCCAAGAACATTCCAAGAATATTCCTGGTACTATATTTATGTTAGAGGTTGAGTCGACCCCAGGACTATAGTGCGGCTGGAAGGATTAGGTCAATAAAAAAAATCCAATGACCTCTTCGCGACCTGAACCCGCGACCTTCCGCCTTGTAGCATAGTTCTTCAATCAACTACGCTACCGCGTGCCCCCCAAAATTTAGTGTATTGTGAAGTAATATAAATACTTCAAATTTTTCGGAGGAACTAGCTCTAGCCTTCTTCAGGGCCGAGAGTGAACCGGCGATAATGACTTCATTCCATGATACAAAGGTGTATACCAAGAAGGCGAAGAAACAACGGCCTGTGATCATAGTGAAATTGCGTTTACACTTGATACAAACCCAGTTCGACCAGTTTCGAGTCCTTGCATCCTTACATGATCAAGGTCCATAATCAACTGCACTTATATTTTTTCTGTCCGCTCTTGGTGGAATAACCGTGAGCACTGCCATGAGGGAGTGTAAAACCCCGGACTTGTCGATGTAAGAGGCTGACACGGCCGGCACAATCAATACAATTAGGCTCTCATCACCTCGTACTCACTTGCAGCTCGGCGAAGGAGTGTCTCTCAGCAGCGCTCTCTTTTGAGGAGATTCCCAGCGAGGGAGGGGGCGCCAGCGGTCCGATGGATTCTGCGGCAGGGACAAGAGATGGTTACATCTCGGCTCAGACAGGTTACATCACTCTACAAACAATATGAATCACAGTACAAAGAGAGAGAGCTACATCTCGGCACAAACAGGTTACATCACTCTACAGACAGCCTGAATTAAGCAGGATACCTCCCCGCACAAACAGGTTACATCACTCTATAGACAGCCTGAATTAAGCAGGATACCTCCCCGTACAAACAGGTTACATCACTCTACATACAGCCTAAATTAAGCAGGATACCTCCCCGCACAAACAGGTTACATCACTCTATAGACAGCCTGAATTAAGCAGGATACCTCCCCGCACAAACAGGTTACATCACTCTACAGACAGCCTAAATTAAGCAGGATACCTCCCCGCACAAACAGGTTACATCACTCTACAGACAGCCTAAATTAAGCAGGATACCTCCCCGCACAAACAGGTTACATCACTCTACAGACAGCCTAAATTAAGCAGGATACCTCCCCGCACAAACAGGTTACATCACTCTACAGACAGCCTAAATTAAGCAGGATACCTCCCCGCACAAACAGGTTACATCACTCTACAGACAGCCTAAATTAAGCAGGATACCTCCCCGCACAAACAGGTTACATCACTCTACAGACAGCCTAAATTAAGCAGGATACCTCCCCGCACAAACAGGTTACATCACTCTACAGACAGCCTAAATTAAGCAGGATACCTCCCCGCACAAACAGGTTACATCACTCTACAGACAGCCTAAATTAAGCAGGATACCTCCCCGCACAAACAGGTTACATCACTCTACAGACAGCCTAAATTAAGCAGGATACCTCCCCGCACAAACAGGTTACATCACTCTACAGACAGCCTAAATTAAGCAGGATACCTCCCCGCACAAACAGGTTACATCACTCTACAGACAGCCTAAATTAAGCAGGATACCTCCCCGCACAAACATGTTACATCAATCTACAGACAGACTGAATTAAGCAGGATACCTCCCCGCACAAACAGGTTACATCACTCTACAGACAGCCTGAATTAGGACTTCGTTTCTATCTCGCAGAGAAAAAACATCTTCATTATAAAGACCAACCAGTCAGTGCTATACAGGGAAGTAATCTCTGTGGGATGTTATGAAATATATAAATACAATATGTGGACAGGATGGTGAGACTCTTCAAGCTAGAGCAGGCGATACGTAGCCCAGAAGACCACGACATGAGCGACTGATGAACTACGTACTCTGATGTTAATTACAAGAGGACAATACCTGCTTGACGGCCAGGCCGTGGTCATTGTGAAGCGCCGCGACGCCGACCCCTTTACGATCAGTGACGCATTCGTCACACATAAGGACAAAGGGACAAGTGAAGCAGCGATACAGCAGGCCCTGCACGGGGGTGCAGTTACACGAGGTGCAAGTCACGTCTTTATGTACGGGCCGTGGCCCCACTAAGGGTGGCAGCAGCGGCAGGCGCCTGTTGTAGTAGAGAGCGTTGCGAATTTCTTCTCGTAGGTCACGCCAGGTGCAAAAATCTCCCCTGCAGGCACAAAATTCTGTACATTAGCAGGATGCTCCAGAACGTATATAACGTTGGGTGTTCATTGGTTTATTTTATCATTTAAGAACGCTATCCTCTTTAACTGTGACCGCCTCTGTGGTCTAGTGGTCAGAGTTTCTGACTACAAATCCAGAGCTGCGGGTTCGATTCCTGGCGCTACCAGATTTTTTCTGAGTAGTGGGTCTAGAATGGGGTCCACTCAGCCTCGTGATGATAATTGAGGAGCTATTTCAAGAAAATAGTGGCTCCAGTCTGGAAAACCGAGATTAACGTCCGTGGGGATTCGTTGCGCTGACCACGCGACACCCTCTGTCCGCTAAATTTGGCACTAACTTCGCCGATAAGCGGCGGTCGCTCGGTCGCTATAGTTAGCTTGCGGACTAAAACCACGGAGTTTGTTTGTTTATTATCTTTAATTACAGGAGCAATCTATCACACACTGAAGGCAAATGGTGGAATTATAATTGGCAGAGAGAAATGGAATTCCCGGAGAGAGACCTACTCAAATGCCTCTTGTCCGTCACAAATTCCGCATGAATTATCCTGGGACTGAACACGGGCATGCACAGAGAGAAAGAGACGACTAACCGCCTGAGTTATGGCACGGTGTAACGAAGCTGTCCGTAGGCCAGAATATGTAATGTCGATGGCAGAATGATTAGCGGACAATGAATTGTTAATGTTGTGGAAGGAAGAGGTTATGACGCAATTTGAGTTATGGTCCCGGTATTTTCCCGGAGGGACTGAGTGAAATATCGATAAACATCATTAAGGATAGTCGGTCCTCGAGCTGACATTCGAACCCTGAGAGCTTCCGAATGTGAGGCAGGTATGCTTAGCGCCTGACTCATAGTCGTGTTAATGGTTAACTGACAAGAACATGGAGGGAAGTGGTCGTTGTCTATTTGAATGGTCTGTCTCCTAAGGGGCAAAGGATGAATAAAACCACAAGTGAATTGAACAATGACAGTTGTAACCTGCCAAGAAACGACAGCTTTCGACGTAATATCCATTGCAGTCAGCCTTGTAGTAGCGGCAACTTCTCCGACAACTTCGTGTGACGTGCAGTCTATCCATGAGGACAAAGGCGAATATTATACACGTCAAAGTCAGGATTCCGATCTTGTGGAATGTGACTCCGTGTAATTTGGCAGATGGGTGCCAACGTTTCGAAAAACCTACGGCCTTTGTGATCAAGAAGAATAGTCCATACCCTGAAGCTGAAGACGAAAGTTTCCATCGAAATTTAATATCTACTAAGAACATGGCTGAAGCACAATAGACCACTGTAGGTCGCGGTGCAAGGGCCGAGAAGGCTCACCCCTTATACATACATTCATACAAGAATATGGCTACAGATCATAAACATCTTTAGGCGTGAGAAATTCGAAATCGGCGTTGGAAAATTCCCATGATAAAAAATACGACGTGTAATAAAGGAAATATCACAGAATTTTCATAAAATTTTCATATTTAGTACAGAAATTAAATAAAATATAGGTTTGTAAGTCCATCCGACCTTCATTAATATTTAACTAAATTGTTGGTAGCCGGTAGTCACGGTAGCCGAGCGGTCTAAGGCATGCACTGTCTTCGCTCACACGGAAGCCGGGATCGTGGGTTCGAATCCCACAGAGGGCATGGATGTTCAGTGTTTGTGTGTGTGTGCGCTTTTCTGTGTATGTGTACAGGTCTTGCGACGAGCTGATCACCCGCCCAAGGAGACCTACCGAATGTCTAAGATCTAGTAAACCGAAGTGAAACGGAGTTTCATGGAGGTAGGCCAAGGCCCAAATTGGGGCTGCAGCGCCAAATGAAAAAAAAAATTGTTGGTTACTGCGAATTCCGATAAATTCTCACATCGCTGAATGCTGTCAAATTCCGGTCACTCAATGCTGGTATGATGACTACGCCAGCTTCATCATTCACCCATTGCAGTGCTGTGGCTACTACTTAAGCCCTCTTCTTTAACATTTAGGAATTCTGCATTATGCCCAGCCAAAAGAGTTGCTCTTCTCTTATGAAGAGAAAAAGGTAACTACTCAGTGCTTAATAAATTAAGCAGCATACCATGAACATGTATGCGGAGTGGAGGTATAGCTCCACCATTCTTGACCTCGGCACTAGATAGAGGTGAGTGGTGAGCTTCACGCCCCGGCCACTACACGCCTAAGGACAGAGCCTCTGGTAACCATTGGAGAGGAGGCTGGATGAGACCCAGATACACTCTAAACGCTGTGGAGTACAGAAAAATCTCTTACCCTTGACGGGAATAGAACTCCGGTAGTCGAACTCGTACCCCATCGCTATAATGAGTGAGCAATTCCGGCTTTTCTTATGATTATAAGGAGAGAAAATTGCCACGGACGATGAATGTATACTACGTAAGCTGAAAATATCAGCACGACTTTCTGAGAACTTCAGCTGCCGGTAGAGTGTCCCTGAATGAACAACAGAAGGGTCAAGGTCGACAAGCCGTAACCACCATTTCACTTGCCTTATCTTCTGCTAAGGATAGCGAGCACGTTGCAGAAGTATTACTGTAATAAGATTATGATCATGTTAAAGGTGATGCCATGGGGTAAAGTACGAGAAGATAGGCGCTGACGTTTCGGAGGGTCTGCGCATACAGGGTAGAAGTAACGCTTCTGTTCTGGTTCCTCCGCAGACTACCGGCATAAACAGCAAGATTATAGTCCTAATTTTCTCTATCACAAGAACTTCGAAGTTTCATTATTTTTTATTACTAGTGGGGTGGGACTGTCCCTTGCACTGCGGCCACTTCTGGCCTATTGTACCAGCCCCAGATGATAGGTGAGGGTGATTGTGGAGCAATTGGTGGAATGAAGATTGACAGGGGAAACCGAAGTACTCGGAGAAAACCTGCCCCAGCGATACTTTGTCCACCACAAATCCCACTTGACCAGACCAGGGATCGAACCCGGACCGACGCCGTGGAAAGCCAGCGACTAATCGCTTGAGCTATGGCGCGGTCCTAAAACTTCATTATGTCTATAGTTTATACGTACGGTAGGATTTTCTGTTGGAATGGAAGGACTTGGTGTCCGGCCAATACCTGCACAGTGGACAGTTGAGCATCCCGTCATCCCGCCCGTCCTGTAGGTCGTGTGCTGTCTGATGGAGCGCCACAACTTTCATGCACGCGATATGCACCGACTGGCCACACCCGTGTCGGCAGAACGTCACTGTAATGGATAATACAACATGACTTTATCATCGCTTCTACCGTTACAAATGTAGCCTAAGTAGTTTCATGATCTGTTCTTTATTCTGAAAAAGAATACAGGCCAAAAATATACTCCGATGGTCACCACTGCCCATAAAGGGATGAGGAACAAACAAATAAACAAAACAAACTCCGTGGCTTGAGTCCGCAAGCGAACTATACCGACCGAGCGACCGCCGCTTGTCGGCTAAGTCAGTGCCAACTATTGCGGGTAGAGGGTGTCGCGTGGTCAGCGCAAGGGGTCCTCAAGGCCGTTAATCTCAGTTTTCTAGACCGGAGCCCTTATTTCCTTAAAATAGATCCTCAATTATCCCCACGAGGCTGAGTGGACCGCGTTCCAGACTCACTAATTCTCAGAAAATCTGGTAGAGCTGGGAATTGAACCCAGGACCTCTGGATCTGTAGGCAGGAACTCTGACCACTAGACCACATAGGCGGTCTTATGTCGACAAGCAGAAATATAAATTTGAAACTCTGTAGTACTGATGGTTACCACTGCCCATAAAGGGCTGAGGAACAAAGGAAAAAAAAACTCAGTTTTATGTTGGTAAATTAGCTTTCCCCTGGTAATCACTCCACATCTTCTACGTACTAACCTGTGGTATTCGATAGGCCCGACCAACCAGCATATCATACTCAATTTTCTTTATTGCTAGTGGAGTGGGACTAAGTCCCTTGTACTGCGGCCACTTCTGGCCTATTGTACCAGCCCCAGATGATAGGTGAGGGTGATTGTGGAGCAATTGGTGGAATGAAGATTGGCAGGGGAAACCGAAGTACTCGGAGAAAACCTACTCCAGCGCCACTTTGTCCACCACAAATCCTACTTGACCAGACCCGGGATCGAACCCGGGCCGCCGCGTTGGGAAGCCAGCGATTAACCGCTTGAGCTATGGCGTGGCCAACCAACCCATCATACTCAACTTGGTATTAGCCAAACTGAATGCAAATAATTAACTTGGCGTACCGGGTCTTTTAGATTCCAACAGCTCTTCCAGACAAATGGGGCACAAGTCTTTCTGTCCGATTAGTTTAGAGGGCACTGATTCCATGACCTGGAATCTCTTCTTCTCCACACGAAGTGGCCAGACGTGGGACCCTTGAATCAGTTCTTCCAGGTCGTGAGGTACCAGCCCCATCTGCACACAAAAGAGTTCAGGACGAGTTCAGGCAGCCCGCAGTTTCCAGGCTTCTTTAGAGAAGGCAAACGGAAATAAGGCATTGGGAAGTCCATTAAAATACAGTTTCACACACAGATTCGTCCTGGTCTGAATCATTTTCTTATTTATGTGTGTTTTTTTCAACGATGTCTTCAATTCTAAGAATATTTGGCGTCGAGAAATCGGCTAATTAGTGAATATATATTTGAAATTCTGTCTGCAGTATTGCAGTCTCCATGGATACGACGCAGTATACGAGAATATGGATGTAACAGGTTCCTCTAAAACGATGATAAAGATCTACCAGGATACACGGCGCCACATTCTAGAAGACATCAATCTTCATAGTGAATAACTGGATACAAACAGATGAACAAGCATGTAAGAAAATAGACATTCGGAAGACCAGGACGCGAAGTAAAGATAATATTAAAATGGAATTTCATTAAATAGTTTATGAGGGTGGGAGATAAATAGAAATGACTTAGAATAGAGGGATTCAGTATTGGCGGCGCTGAAATTTCGTACTGAGTTAGAGACAGGGAGATGCTATCATATTCTAATTTGTCTGCTTCACACTAAAACGCTCCGTGTTTGAAGGTAAGGTCAGAAAATTTGTCTCTGTAACCAATCAGAGCGCTTGGGAACATAAGTAGGACTTGGAGGATAAATTTTCACTCATTCTAGGTCTCAATATTTCACTACTTCAATTTTCAATCACTTAGACAGGAAATAGGAGCAGATTAGAAAATGTATGCATGGCGTAACAGTTCTTGCAAGTTTGTTCACTTTTGCTCAATTTCCTTGAAAAGTTAACATTGCCACATTGGGTATAAATATATAATTCATTTCTCTCTGCAGATTTTATTAGAAAGATTTTCCCTCCAATAAATATTGCTATGTGTAGGGTGGTACGCGTGAGGAAAATAACGGGTTCTAGTTCGGATGATTAGATCTATTAGCACCCTGGTTACAAGTTCTCTTAATCACACTTAAATACAGCGCTAGTGCTGATTTACACAACTTTCCAAGCTACCGTTGCACACGCGCTAGGATTCGCCGTCTTCACTATTCGTCTCCTGGCAACGGATCTCAACACAGAAATTAGCATTTCAAACCGCTCTGAAGTCTTCTTGCTGTTTCGTCTTCAATCATTCTGGAACGTCGGAATTAAAATTTCTTCTGGAGTCACTCCTACAGCTTACGACTGACACGCAACTGCCCAGAACTAATTCTGTCACTCCCTTCTCTTATAAGCACTATGCGCAGACCCCATGGAAAACAACGTCTCTATTGTTGATGACCTCACCGCTTTCATAGCATGGTCCGATATGCGTAAATGTGTTTACCCAGCAGATGCTTACAAATGGATTGCATAACCCGTTATTCTACTGTTGCTTGGCGCAGACCACATAGAAATCACAGCATCATCTATTGTTGCGTAACCTAGCAACGGACTGTTTATCAATAATCTATCTTTGTGGGAACTTGTTTACCAATACGTTGCCTAAAAATGGGTGAAAAGGTAAACGTATCCCTGTAACAGGCCTTGAGGCCCATAGGGTTGTGAGATGTTGTGGTTCCCACATTTTCTAGACAATCGGCTCGTAGATGGCGGCAAGGTTGTCAGGCCTACGTGCCGGCCGCCCTTTACCCCGAAGAACATTCAAAGAATATTCCAGGTACTCATTTCTGTTAGAGGCTGACTCCACCCCAGGGCTATAGTGCGGCTGGAAGGATTAGGTAAATCGAAAAACTTAAATTGCCTCATCGGGATTCGATCCCGCGACCTTCCGGCTTGTAGCATAGTGTCTCAACCAAATGGGTATACATGTAACAATATTTAATAAGGTATGTTTGAGATGGTTACAGAAATGCCTATAGGCCCATAACTGCTGTCTGACTTTAACCGAAACTTGACTGTATAGATAAATGTAAGAAAATATCAACAACAGAAGCCATGATCTTCCGTTCAGATGTTATCGAGTTGTAACATACGGAGAAACAGTCCTGGATAAGCCAACACGCAGCTTTAATTACGGACGCAACAAGAAATGGAACAGATTGGGTATCAGCACAATCAGACCCATTAGCCCATGTGAACATAGTGGCAAGGGAGAGTCCTCAAAGCCTTTGTCAGGACTTGAACCCCATACCTGGTAGGAGAGAGGATCTTCAGGCTTCAGTCGTAGCTTCCTGAGGAGGGTCCAGCAGATATGTAAACACAGTTCTCGCTCCTGGCGATAAGTCCGGCAGTTACAAACGTGGGGGTCTCCAAGTCGTACCTGAAACAAGCACAGAGAACGTGTTTTCTCAGTTTCTCAGCTGCAAACTGCAGTACACAGGAACAATTATAATGCACTATGGCGTGCCTGTTGAAAACTAAATTGCAGAAATCTGATAGTTCTCTTGCTACGGTTTCCACAGGTAACCACACTCCACTGGTCCACTCCTATAACGTAAAATGTAAAAATGTCCCTGTGTATAACTAATTAAGCACTATACCATGAACACGTATGGGGGAGTGGATAAATAAATTCACTTACTCTTAACTTCTCCATTACTTGGAAGTGAGTTGTCAACTTCACGCCCCGGCCGCTTTGCCTCCAGGGGAGAAGTCCCCTCTACCCATTGGATAGGAGGCTGGGTGGGCCCCAGAACCGATCTTGACGGCGTGGAGAGAAGAAAATCTTATCTCTAGCGGGTCTCAAACTCCGAACCTTCGGCGGTCCAGCCCGTATCCAGTCGCTATACCGACTGCGGTCCCACTGGTCCACTCTTAAATATTATAACGTTTGAAGGAACCAGAATTTCACTTAGTATATACATTATAAACTTGGTTTTTTAAGACAGCTTGATTTAACAAATATAACAACAACAACAACAACAACAACAAAAATAAAAATAACAAATCGCAACATTCTGGTGTCAGAAGTGATTGGATTGGAGACCGCAGTAAGAAGCGATATGGCCACACTATGGGCATGCAACAGATGATGAAACGCCTGCTGTCAAAAATGAACGCCAACAAAGCAAAAAACGGACGCTACGATAAAGGAAATGCTGGCCAAGATGGACGCCAATCAAGAAAAGACAGATACCTGAAGAGTTGAAATGGAGGTATGGCGAGAAAGACGACGGCCTGCCAAGAAGCGACGGAGGTCTGTCTGGAAATTAAGGAGCCAACCTCACTGGAGGTAGATCCTGAGACGGAGATGGGCAGGTCCCTAAGGAAGAGGCCACAGTAGAAACTTTTAGAGCATTGAAGAAGCGACATGGGGACCCACAACTAGCCGTGAGACGCCGCGGTCAGCCGAAGAAACGGACCCAAGGCAGTGGTGGGTCTCGAAAAAGTCGGCCGCCGCCTGCAGAGGGATGACCCGCAGTGCCATTCCTGCACGGCATTGGGGACAAAATCGTCAGGTACAAGGCCAGAACAATGTTGCAAGAGGAGTCCCTAAAGGACGGACGTTCGGGAAGAGACGTCGGGCGACACCGGAAGACATCACTGGAAAAATGAACCGCAGCTCATGACAGGAGCCACGGAAGCTGAAGAATCTCCATTGTTAAGATTTGTCGTCTAAGGGAAACTTTGCAGAGGAATAGCCATTGTTGAGAACTGTTACCAAGCAACGACTAGTGAAAGCAGACTGAGAAGTCTTAGAGTGGAGTAATTTGTAGTGTGGAAATCAGCAACAGTGTTAGTTATTTGCAGTTACGGCCTCTAAATGGTCAATAAATCTATTCACCAATCCTTATTCCGTCTAAAGTCTCACATAAAACAAAAACACACTCAGTCCATGGTTTTATTGCGCAGAGCAAACTACACCGACTGAGCAACCGCCACTTGTCGGCGAAGTTAGTGCCAACTTTAGCGAATAGTGGGTGTCGTGTGGTCAGCGCAACGAATCCCCACGGCCGTTAATCTCGGTTTTCTAGACCGGAGCCGCCATTTCCTTGAAATAGCTCCCCAATTATCTTCACGAGGCTGAGTGGACCCCGTTCCAGACCCACTACTTCTCAGAAAATCTGGTATCGCCGGGAATCGAACCCGGACTTCTCGATTTGTAGTCAGGAACTCTGACCACTAGATCACAGAGACGGTCATAGTCTCACATACATTTGATAATAATGTAATTGTCATAGACATTACCGCGGAATAAGAAAATTGACAATCATGTAACTTTTAATTTATAACTCATATACCAAGTTTCATTGAAATCCATTTTAGTAATTTCGGGAAAGGACAGACCTGCAAAGGCTTCCTTCGGCCCTCCTCCTGTAACTTGTAGGCTGCAGGGCCGCTCTGTCTGACCAGAAAGACCCGTGACCCGCCGGAAACAGCCAACAGCTGCCTTCCCCTGACCTTCTCCGGACACACTTGCCTCCATCCACTATTCCGGGCCATTCTGCTACAACATAGGATCTTCGATTCCTCAGGAAATACCGCTATCCAAGGACGTTATATCTGTCATAAACAATTTTCATTCTTCAGCGATTTGTGCATTTGGTTTTTATTTGTACCGGTTACTCTTTTGTTCCCTCTTCAAGTTCTCTTGTTCTGTAATTCCTCGATTCACACCGAGCGACCACAGGAATGTCGGACGCTGGCCTTGAGGGTTCGTAGTAGCGATTCCCCCACCCCCATCCCCACCCATCGGCCTCTTCTGTTCATTCACTTATAAAGACTGGGGATCAGTTAGGACCCTGACACAGATACAGAGATATAAATTACTGCAGTCGCAATTTTGAAACAGAAAGGAATTGCGTGTCTTTTAAGCAATTTAATTCTAACTTTGTCTTGTGACCACAATAAAAATAATAAATAATATTTCAAGCCTGAGATCAACTTAGTAAACATGTTATACATTGCCTCGTGCAATATCTTGGCCTTGTCGTCTGTGACCTTGAGGGTTTTAGCACGCTCTTTTAGCTGCGGCTCTGTGTTTATATATTCTCGTCGAATAAAGGCATTCATCATAGAGACATTCATATTCTCTGAAGGTCTATATCCAGCAGCTACTTTTTAACAGCTTCAGTTATTCTTGTGTTGAACCAACAGAACGTAAGACAACGATTCTGCTAAGTCTAGCTTTCAGTCGCTTGAAATTTGTAATAATGAATTACGTTCCACCATTTTATGCATCAAACGCAATATCAGAAAGCAATTAAATAAATCATGGGCACGAAGAGTAAATAAAGGAGATGGACGATGTTAGCTCAGGATCATGCCTTGGTATTCCTTACTGGAGCTGAGCCCTTCTTGAGGAGAAGCCAAATCTGCAGCCACTCAAGACCTTCCCAGCATTTTATGGAAGCCGAAGGTTTATTACCGTGTTCACAAGAGCCATCCACTAGTCCCTATCCTGAGCCACATCAATCCAATTAATACAATCCCATCCTATCTCTCTAAGATCCATTTTAATATTGTCCACCCAACTACGCCTTGCTCTTCCCAGTGTTCTCTTTCTTTCTGGCTTCCCCACCAATATCCTATATGCATTCCTGTCCTCCCCAATTTGTGCTACATGCCCTGCCCACCTCATCCTCCTTGACTTGATCATTCTAATTATACTTGGAGTAGAGTACAAGTTATGAAGGTCCTCATTATGCAGTTTTCTCCAACCTCCTGTCACTTCATCCCTCTTCGATTCAAATATTCTCCTCAACACCCTGTTCTCAAACCCCCTCAGTCTATGTTCCTCCCTTAACGTGCCTTGGTATTATCATGTTGAAACTTTGAGGTTCTATTGCAAATTGAAAATAACTGACAAATGTGACAAACTGAAGGACGATAATTGGTCTATATTTTGACAGTTTACTGTACGGGTTGTTGCTTTCTGGGTGCAGATAACAAGTAATCTTAAGTGGCTACCAAAGCTACAGAGGAACATGCAGCTTCTTTCTTCAAGGTGGATGTGAAAACGCAGAAATTATGTTCCTACGAAATGATAATCGCTCATGAGAACAAACGGTGCCATAACCTAGAAGGCAGCAAGCCAAACTCTCACAGCTATGAAAACCTCAGATCTCAGAGCACTTTATGAAACCGACCGGAGAAAGGACCAGACTCTTTACCCTTACACCTTACAATAGGCCACGGCCGCTTTTTTACGTATCATTCACAATCATTCTGCCAGTCGATATCATTTAACCCACGCAGTTAATGAAACACGCTCACTCTGAGGAAAACACAGACCTACAGACTGACTGTGCTTTGAGAGCAAGGTGCTCAGGAAAATATTTAGACCTAAAAAAATTCGTGGTTTTAGTCCGCAAGCGAACTATACCGACCGAGCGACCGCCGCTTGTTGGCGAAGTTATTGGCAACTTTAGCGGATAGAGGGTGTCACGTGGTCAACGCAACGACTCACCACGGCAGTTAATTTCGGTTTTCCAGTCCAGAGCCGCTATTTCCTTGAAATAGCTTCCCAATTATCCTCACGAGGCTGAGTGGATCCCGTTCGAGACCCACTACTTCTCAGAAAATCTGGTACAGCCGGGAATATAACCCGGATCTCTGGATATGTAGCCAGGAACTGTGACCACTAGATCACAGAGGCGGCCATGTAGACCTGAAACAGTAATTATTCTAACAGGGGGATGGAGAAATCTACATAAGAAGGATATATGTAATCTGTAATCTTCATCTGATATTTAGAATCTGAGGTTCTCACAGCACTGGTGACGAAGAGTTCGGTCTACTGGGTTATAACGCCGTGTAGTCCAGTGAAAGCAACCGATGTTTCAGAGGAACATGTCGCCTCCATCTTCAGGGATTAAGCGTAATCCCAGCAAGAAAACAACACGAATCAGGCAGCAAGCACAAAAGCAGGGCACAGGTGACACTGAGAAATGCAGACAAGTTTTAATCAGGAACCAAAAAGAGACGACATGCCTTTGGAAATCTAGGTATAGATGGGAAGACAATATTAAAACAGATCTTATTAAAATAAGGTGTAGGCTGTCGACTATATTCAACTGGCTCAGGACATTGTCCAATTGTATGATATTGTGAACACAATAATAAATAGTACACTTTGTAAAGGGCAGTTAATTTCTTGGTCAGCTGAGCAACTATCAACTTTTCAAGGAAGAATCTCTAACATGCTGTCGTTTGAAAAATAAATAGGCGAAATTAGCTAGACTGAGAAGTTGTTAACCGAAATATTTGAAAATATTTTATCAAAAGTTGCTTGTAAAACGTGAGTCACTAAAAAAAAGGTAAAGATATCCCTGTAAGAGGGCATGAAGGCCCATAGGGTTGTGAGACATCGAGGCTCCCCACATTTTCTAGACAATCCGCTCACAGATGGCGGTGAGGTTGTCAACCTTACGCGCCGGCCGCTCTTTACCCCCAGGAAGATTCCTGGTACACATTTATGTTAGAGTCGACCCCAGGGTAATTGTGCGGCCGGAAACATTAGGTAAATTGAAAAGATCCACCTCATTGGAACTCGAACCCGCGACACGAAGAAGTCACAACAACCGGATTGTCAGAAGGAAGGCAGGAATTCAGTCTACTGATGTAAGGTAGCTCAGGCTTACCTCATTCACGCTAAATAACCGGATGAATACGTCGCTTTTAGGCTGACCATACAATACACACGGGAAGGGAACAGAAAGGAGGCAGCTCGACGCTGTTCGCACCTATCCCGTCCTCCGCAATAAAGCGGTAGTAGATTGGGTTCGGCCAAGAGTCGTATTGTTGCCGGCCTCTGGGGAATCGCTCTACTAACCGTTATGAAAACATCATCCTTCCGAGACAAATCGACTGGAGAATACTACATACTGCAAAAACGTTAACACATTCAAATCGACACTTCTGAGGGGCACTCTTCTTTCAGCCACACAATAAGTTAGACACTCACACATTAATTAACTAACTCCATTAAACCAGAATCCTTCTTGACAAGCTCAGGTATTTGAGAAAATTTCCGTCTTTTATGGAACTCGAAGATTCATGATTGTGGTCATAACAGACCGTCACATGACCCTATTATTAATAAAATTAATTCAATCCACAGCACCCCCCCCAGCCTGTTTCTCTAAGACACGTTTTAACACTATTCACCTATCTGCGCGGCATCTTCACACCAGGCTTTTCGACCAAAATTTTGTAGGCATTTATGGTTTCTCTCATGTATGTTACATGTCCCATCCATTGCACCCATCTTAAGCAGAATGTTCTAACAATGTTTGAAAAAAATATTAGCCCTTCAATTTTACCTTTCTTCCATCTTAATTCCAAATATTCTACTCAACACCATGTTCTGACACATCCTCAAATCTATATTCTTCCCTTAAGCGGAGAGACAAAGTTTGACATCAATACAAAACAGATGAAATGGTAGTTCTGCATATTTTCAACTTCATTTTTTCTATCACGACTGGAGCTATTATACCTCTATTTTGGAGGTGCCTGGTTCCAATCTCGATCGTGTTATCAGATATTTTATTCAGATATTTTTTGCCATTCCTCAGCATCATCAAGCAAATACCAGGATATCCCGTTACTATCTCCTTGTCCACGCCATAGCTCAAGCGGTTAGTCGCTGGCTTCCCACCGCGGCGGCCCGGTTCGATCCCGGGTCTGGTCAAGTGGGATATGTGGTGGACAAAGTGGCGCTGGGGCAGGTTTTCTCCGAGTACTTCGGTTTCCCTTGCCAATCTTCATTCCACCAAATTCTCCATCATCATAATCACCCGGGGCAGGCTACAATAGGTTAATCAGTGGTCGCCGTGCCCAGTGGACCCAGTTGGACTCCACCCCCCAAAAAGCGAATTAAAAAAAACTACTGTCTCCTTCAAGATCCCTGTCTTATCTTACTAGTCAGTTCGATGCAATATAATCTCTGTAGCTGAAACATCGAGAGTTAAGAGCTAATAAACCAACTGTCATTACGTAACACACTGGCGATGTATCCGTTTATCACATGGGAGGCAGGAAGGCAAAAGTTTGTCATTACAGCCCACTACGTGTCACGGCCTTCTTGTGAAGGTACAGTTCCAGTCTTTGTTTACCTTGAGCACAAGACGGAGGCCAGTATTTAGTGTCACGGAGCGACCTCTTTCTTCCTCGGATCCTGACACCGTCGTTCAGTCGCGAAGTTCGGTGCTGGAGGGACAGAGAATTTTTATGCAAATCACAACCGCGCATGATGCCGAGCTTGGCTGTTCAGAAGGCAGAGAAGTAGTGCCGACAACTAATAAGATAACCCTGCGGAGCAAAGTTGTTTTTGATAAACGATTAGCCGCTGAGCTAGTCAAGAATTTGCCACATTTTATGGAACCAGAAATTTCGTTACCGTGTTTGCAAGAGTTTGCCACTTGTCCCTATCCTGAACCAGGTGGATCCAGTACACGGCCTCTCGCCCTATTTCTCTGACCAAGTGGTCTCTTCTTTCCAGGTTTTCCGATTAAGATGCTTTATGAATTTCTCACCGCCCCAAAGAGCGCTCCATGCCCTGTCCATCTTACTCTACCAAGTTTCATTATCCTAATAACATTTGGCCAAAGTACAGATTATGAAATTCATCACTGCATGATTTTCTTCAGCCTTTACTTATTTCCTGCCTTTGGGGTCCAGGTTTTTCTTTAACAAGTAAAGCCTATAGCTGAGACTTAAGGTTCTCAAGGCGATGAGTATTAAGATTATTGTTTTCTGTTATGTGACGCCGTGTAGTTGGTACACAGACATTAATATTTCAAAAGAATCTGATGCCTCCATCTTCAGGATAGCCTGAAGATGAGAGCAACATGTTTTTCCGAAACACTGGTACCCATCTACCAGAATACGTGGCTTCATATCGCGAATCTATAACTACTGACACATTTTGTCAGTAACTGCCGACGTGCCGCAGTGTCGTAAGGGGAGAATATTTTGTATGTAGCTAGTAGTTCGTGGGACGTCAATGCTCAGGGAAAGACGGCATTGCAACTAGATTGAATTTTCCGACCCGAAACTTGCACACGGTCGTAAAACAGGATCGTAAAGCAGACTACCAATTCCTCGCTCGCTCGGCCGTTCTGTCCGGTCTTCCTCTCAGCGTTCTACTGAGGAAATTCCAGGTAGCAGATGGCCCAGTTTGTAACAATTACAATATAAATAAACAAATGCCTCCATGTTAATAGCAGTTACTGATCTCCGGATACTGCGCGGGAAGCTGCCTTGGCTGACCAGAAACCAAGAGAAGGACGCCCATCAGTTGTACATCCCGCCAAGCTTTCCAACCTGTACATTATTCGCAATTGAGCCACTTTAGCTTTACATCACAAAACAAGATGGCCGCGAACTATTTATTAGGTACACTTCATGCAGTCCACTTCTGCTTCCGGCTTCAGGTAAAAGTGAGGACTTAATTTTATTGGGGACCTCCTCTGGTGAACAGTGCTCCACTGATTGAGACGAGTTTATTCCCATAAACTTATCACATCTGGCCCTTCACTTTCCCTGAGATACTTGTGAGAGGCGTCAAGAAGAAAACGAAATATCCTGTGCGAATGTGAGGCCTTAGCTTGTTTAAGATTGCGCCACTTGGGTCAATATTTTATGCAACCAAGTGACTATTTCGACGTCCACACGTACAAAATCCTGCACTGCATTCGAAGTGCAGGATTGTTGAGGGGATAATCAGAAGGGGAGGCACAATAGATCGCTGTGGTCGCGGTGCAAGGGCCAAGAAGGCCCACTCCTTATACATTCATTCATTCATCCCTGAAAATCGAATCAGAAGAAGCTTCCGAAACATTATGTTTCAGGCACAAAATCTTAAGGACTCACGACGCGCAGGCCTAAAAGAACTATGACGCACCTTTGCTAAAACACTCGAAAATTAAATTTATCCTATTCTAAGAAGTTCCACTGGGGGTGTTTGAAATCAAAGTACTGAGGAAGATCTGGAATTTGAAGTTCTAAGGGCGGTGATATGGTGATTACTGTAGCAAGTTCCTGTGAAACTCTTGGAACTATCTGCACTGCCTCACATCCCAGAAGACAGTAATATTTTTCAATACATCTTCGGATTCTATAAAAATATTAAGAAACTTCAGTAGCTGAGCAATTATTAGAGGGTCCTTCGACACATAGTTAGCTGGTTAGTCTGTCCTCTAACCAGATTTCACAAGAGGGGGCTTTCTGGGATAAGGGGCCATATAATTTTGTACACAGATGCTATCCTTCCGGAAGAACGTGCTGCCCCCACCTGCCCTCGTGAGTGAAAATGGAGGCAATACGTTCTTCTGACAAGTTAATAACATGAATACATGGCGCCACATACCAAAAGACTGTTACTAAAACTAAACTCCGTGGTTGTAGTCCGCAAGCGAACTATACCGACCGAGCGACCGCCGTTTGTCGGCGAAGTTAGTGCCAACTTTGGCGGATAGAGGGTGTCGCGTGGTCATTGCAACGAATCCCCACAGCCGTTAATTTCGGTTTTCTAGACGGGAGCCACTATTTCCTTGAAATAGCTCCTCAATTATCATCACGAGGCTGTGTGGACCCCGTTCCAGACCCACTACTTCTCAGAAAATATCTGGTAGCGCCGGGAATCGAACCCGGATCTCTGGATCTGTAGACTAGACCACAGAGGCGGTCCGAAGGCCGTTAAATTAGTATTTATTATATTTTATTTTTAAATGTAGTTGCTTACGTTTATATTTGATTAAATTCTTTGATAAACAGATTGTAACATATAACCATTGCTATTAAACGACTCAACCAGTCAGTCAACACTTAGGCTAACGTAAACCCATAGAAGCAAATTCGGCATCGACAATACACACATATTCACACAAATTGTAAATTGCAACTGATGAATGTATAAGGAGTGGGCCTTCTCGGGTCTTGCACCGCGACCTACAGTGGTATTTTGTGCTTAAACTGCAACTAAGCAAGAGCACTTTAAAGCACTGAAACATGGGTAGCACTTCCGTATGTGAAAACAAAGCTGCACTATTATTCCTGTACAATATATTCTTAACATACGCTAAAGGAAATTAACACAATTCGATCCCGGCTTTCCACAAGTACTGATATTCGATGAGACTTGATGGACTGTTTGTCTCCACTGCCCCCCCCCTCCTCTGTTCAACAATGAGTCACACATGCAGCGTACGTTGCGCGCGTCAGATATTTATCGAACAAACTAACAAGTCAGTGAAGGTAATGATCGATAATACGCAACGGAAAGCAGATGTAAATATTTTCCACATATACTCTTTGCTATTCTCCGTATCACAATGGTCTTGATGTTCATTTATTAGAGATATATAAACCTAATATCGCAAAGCTAATCGCATGAAGATATATTGCATAGTCATAAATTATGTTTCTTATATTTAGTGAAATACCACAGACTATCGTAACGAATTCGAGCTGAAAGCTCTACGGATTAATCAGATGTATATTTTAGGATACGTAGAAATATTTATCTAATGGACCGTTCTAGGATACCTGGTGAAATTAAGGATAATACCACAGGCCTATTTAAGTGAATCGAATTATATTGTAAGATTTGAAGTTTTCACGGCGGTGACTATGAAGAAAGCAGTCTTCTGGGATTTGGCACCGTGTATATGTGATGTTAACCGACGTTTCGAAGGAACATATCGCCTCCATCTTCAGGGTAGAAGGAAAAATATAAGAAATCCGCAGGCGAAGAGACCGAAAACGTTTGGTATAAGATCCCCGACCCCCAGAAGAATGTTATATTCTATGATGTGACGCCGTGAGTTACGGTAGCTCACCGACGTTTCGGGATAACGTACTTCCTTCATCTTCAGCCTGGTTCTTGCTGGTTACTTACTTGGCTTACTCATCGACAATGAAAATGAAGGCAGTACGTTCCTCTAAAAAGTCGGTGAGTTGCTACCGGATCACACCGCAGAAGTAGTCACTATCGTGGGACCCTCATATACAACTTAAAATGATTTGGTTACTTCTGAAAATGAAACATGTGAACAGACAGGCATAAACGCTTCTCTGTGTATATAAAATGTTAGGAAATGCAAGCGTAGTGTAATGGTTCCTCTTTAACTAATATTTATCGAGTTCCGTTCGAAATGCAAGCAGAAACACATTTGTAAGGAAAGTAATCATCACTCTTGCCTGCGTTCAACAAAAATTTGAATGTACAGACAAACTTTAAAGACACTATCCAATATCAGCTTCCATGAAAGTCTGTTCAGTAGGTATGAAGTTGTTACATACGGCCAGAAAGACACGGTGAAGCTAGTAGGCTCTGTTGACATACGTGTTTCTACAATCTTAGATTTCAGCAAAATTATAAAAAAAAAGTTGTCCCTGTGCTTAACTAATTAAGCACTACGCCATGAAAGCGTATGGAGGAGTGGATGTATACACATTTTCTTGACCTCGGCACTAGCTGGAGGTGAGTAATCAGCTTCACGCCCAGCCTGCTTTAACCCCGAGGAAAGAGCCCCCGGTACTCATTGGACATGAAGCTAGGTGAGCCCCAGAGCCAGTATGGACCACTCGGAAAAGAAAAATTCTTGATCCTACCGGGACCCGAATTCCGAGCCCTCAGTCATCCGAACCGTAGCTAGTCTCTATACCGACTATGCTATCACGTCTCCAAAGTGAAATTATATGTACATTTTTAATAAACAATTAATAGCGCCTTAAATTACGCATAATAGTCTACACACTTACGGCAAACACTATAGCTCAGAACGATAATAAATATTTTGGTCTGAACTAACCTGCATTTTGAGTCTTGATGTTAAATCATTTAACAGAAATACAAGTTTTATTTTTATTACAACAAATACACTGGTACGATTTACCTCAGCTGCTAAGATAATTCAGTGAAATATTCTTCCAGAACGTCGCCAGGGAGATTATTTTATTTCTTTAAAAACTCTTTTGGCGCTTCACACTATTTCATGTCTGCAAATTCCAAAGATTGTTCCGTATCGTATATTGGTTGATTCGAGCAATCGAATGAAATCCACGGCAACCATATATACCTTATTTCTGTCATTATACAAGAGATGTCATTGCATTCTACAATTGAATTGTGCTGCCATCTCCGATCGTGGAAGTAAGCTATTTCTGACTAACCGTGGGGCTCAACAGTTATTACAATACCCTAAGGCAGAACTTTGTATTGCCTTTTTGAGACAAACTGCAAAATCTTACTCCCTTTCTAAATACTCAAGTATTTATAATACAATTAAGTTTAATTCCTCATGGCCAAATTTGATGTGTATGTATATGTTTCACTTTTCCTAATCATTTGAAGGTAAACAAATTGAATGCTGTGCTTGCTTTTTCTAAGACAACCGAGCCAGTGCTAAAATTTTTCTCGTGGTGTTAAATGAAAACTAATCATACATGGTGCACCTGTTTTACATTACCACAGGTACAAAATGTCCATTGCCAACATTCTGGAGAACCTGCCACCTCAGTCTTTGGAATAAAAGAGCAGGAAGAGTATAAGGAAGTGGTATAGGTACTGGAAGACGGTTGGCAGGACCAAGTGAATGGTCTTGGCCTCCTTCTCCTTTTGTTAGTACTTTCCATGACTGGCTTTGTCTTCCATGCTGAAGACGCCAACAAATACCATCCAAACACTGGTAGTGTTAACAGTCTAGCAAAGATGAACTTCATGCTGTGACAGCTTGAAATCTCATCTATCAGTACTTCCATGATGACTCCTACCACACACAAGGTAAATCTGCTTCACATTTGGAAAGATTCAAGTTACCATAGCACCAATTTACAAATAACCAATCCTCTCAAGCTACACAACTGTCCCACTACTATTCAATTTTCCACGTATCTTGTAATGTGTAAGGCAGGGGTAAGCTGAAACTAGTTTGACCAACTGGGACACAAGAACTCAAAAACAGATGAAATGTGTCTTGAAGCTTATGCACACATGAAAAATTACAAATCCCTTCACCATTCTGGAAACCATGTTAATAAAAGAATTTTGTAACATACAAATATGTAGCTAAAAGAGCAGTCATCTTCCAAGATAAAAAGTTGACCCTTTCACAGTGACATTCTGCTTCCACTTACAGGGTCACAGAATTAAATAAAGAAACCAGCATGTTCCCTTCAACCCTGGATATTGAAACAAATTTGTCCCTCTCAAATGCTGGTAGACTTCTAGAGAACTACACGGAGTTAATCTCAAAAGATCTCAGATCCTACGAATTAACAACTCAGAATGTCATATTCATTTTTATGCAATCATTTAAAAGCAGAGACAATTTCAAACACAGACAAAACACAATCCAAAATTTCTGTCTTCTATTTCACAAAACGTTTTTCCAAACAGGTTATGAATACAAAGAGGAACACTTCATCACCGAACTTTGTATAAACTCCAAATCAAGCACATTCAGCAGTTCAGTCTGGCAAAGCTTATACCAAACCAGCTTCCTCTCCTCCAAAGATAAAGCCCCTTCCTTTATCTACAGCTGATGTAAATAAAGGCTGTCACAAATTTCCATGTCCGCTGTATCTAGCAGTGCCTATAAAAAAGGATAAATCTTATTCTTACCTGTCAAACTGATCTGGATACAAACAGTGCCATCATAACTGTTGTGTCACATAATTCCTGCCACAAGGTGGAAGACACTGTCGTACACTTCTCAAATCTTGCAACCTAGCAATGATGACACAAACTAAGGATTCATGGAGGGAAAAGGAACCAAGAAAGAGGAACATGACAAAACAGTACAAATTCAATTTTTTTGGCTTGTTTATTCAAAATGCACATGTTTCGTGAAAAATTAAGTTCTTTTTGTACATACAGTGCATGGCAGGCACTGTTTGGAACACCAAATTTGATACAAATTCACTTCGATACCGATCTTCATTTTCAATTTAATTTAAAGCATTTCTGCTTATGCTTCACTCATAAATATGCCAAAGATGGATAGTTACACTGTGTAAATTAAATAACTCTCTACATCTTGACTGTTGGCCAGGTCTCTCACATGACCGTCATTTTGGGCCAAGTACCAATTTATGCTGTCATAAACTTAAAGCTGATTTGACTAACTCCAGTCATATGCATTCGTGTACTTAAACAAATTTAAGCCTCTACAGAAACCACCAAACTCAAGTGTTGGTGCCAACTGGTGATGTCTGGATTGATAATGTGCTTTCCAAATTTGTACACTATCTTCCTTACATATTATGCAATTTCTCATTTCATCAAACACATGCATTGTTGGACAAGCATGGATTCATTGGTTGGTTATATTATCACCTGATCCTACAAAAAAACAGGAAGTCAGCCAAGCACATAACAACACCTGCCCCAGCCAACTTACACACACAACACAATGCACGATAGAAAACCCAGACTGACAGATGGGCAGGGCAAATGGAGAAACAAGTTGCATTTTTATGCAAATTATTTTCAGTTTCATTTTTACTACTTAAATTCCCAACAACCCCACTGAATTCCCCAAAGCTGCAAAATTATATTTCATGCCTGACCCGGAGATGTGGGGTGTGACACTAAAAACAGGATGTATGTTCAACCTCTCCCTCCAGTTGCTATGTGCTACAGACACTCCTCCTATGATAAAGAAGACTCATCCAACAAGACTCAAAATCAAACCATAATTCCACTGAAAAGTGCACCAAACTTCATTAAAAAAAAAGAGGAAACTCAAACAGCTGGATATCTAAACTTTATGATCATTATAGAACAGCATAACGTTAATGACCTCTTCCAGAAGATTATGAACATGACAAACACAAAATCAATACATTCAAAGATGGAAAAAGAAACAAACATTATTAATAGACGTAATGTGGGTGGACATATTCTTATCTTAAACTATCAAACTCTCAAGAAAAGAAAAACCTCTTGCGAGAAAAAACTATAAATCTCCACGCATCCGTTAATTAATTTTGTTTATTTGTGATGCCAGATGTCTTCCCCATATGTGATGAGTCTCAAGCACCAGGGTTTCATTTTGAGCCTTGATACATTTACTTTTGGCAGTTAGATGGAAAGATTTTTGTGTCCTGAGAGGACTTGACGCAGGTTACTGTTTTTTCTCAAGGAGGTGTCTTCACTCTAAATTAAAATCAGGTCTGCTTTGCTTGTTTTTATCTCATGCACTAACACAAAATTGGATGTTAAGATTTTTTTAAATTGCCTTTGGATCTACTAAGTGGCATTAGAGAGCGCCAGGCCAGCGAGCAATAGGTGAGTAGGTTGTTTAGGCGCTGCTCTCAGTGGTCGTGTTCTGCACAGCTTGGGAGGCTTCCTGTACAAACAAAACAAAACCAAAAATCAATTCTATACACATGCAAGTCTTTATACACACATTCTTATGCATGTACTTCCTTACTCTGCATCAGGCAAAGTGATACACCACAGGTCAACAAAGGACCTGTAATGTACCGACTGGTTCAACCAGATACACCTCACAGATAGACTACTCTGGGACTGCATCCAGGATTCCTTAATGAGCTATGGCATGGTATAGGCAACAGTATGTAAATTAGGGGGGGAAGGATCGACAGATTTGAATAAAACTCTCATAAATTGTGGAGAACACAGTTGTGAGTGAAAAAAAGAAGTTCAGTTGATTCATTACACAAATATATTTTCCATTCTGAATGTTGGAGACAGTTAAATTTGTCAAATCAGCAGAATTCCACCAAATTCTACACATGTAAGTGTTACTAATGTTTGGAAAATACCTAAACATGATGAGTCCTATTCAACAATGATCCAAATAACTTTTGAAACGAATCAAAATGCATAAAACCTTCTATATTCGTACGAATGTTCAATAAAGCTTATTCCAGTGTCAATAATCTGCAAAGTCATTCAATTTTACTCTTCTTAAAGAAATGTGCCATTTGGAATTATATTCTCTCACAGTGAGAGCACTTCCTTCACCACATTTTCACATAAGAAAAGTCTGATCCACATAACTTTTCTTGTTGACAACTTTATCAGAGCCACAATGTTCAAGACCAAATTTCAATTTTGTGACTGTTATTGTTTTAAGTATTACAATAAAACTCGTGCATTGTTTCTGTCAATGAACGTTTTGTGCCGTGTGCGCTCACAATCACTACTCCATAATATGCAGTGGTTACACTATACATCTATAACACATCATGCTGTAACTACTCACTTGTGACTGTGGCGACCCTTCAGATGGTTCCGACTGAAATCAAGAAGACATGCCTCACATTACAACCATGCAACATCACCACCTTCCATTTGCTGCGCAGTCTGTGCAGAGAACCAGGGGCCAGAACATGCCCAAAGATATCGCTGGTAAATATTCTCTACTTCTTTCAATTTTAAAATCACAGCTTATACTTTCAATTCCGTTGTGTCTTGAAAACAAGCACACTTCATAAGTCTACACATTTCTGATAGCGCGCTACAATATTTCCAACTTTTATTTGGACACCACCCACCATCTAAAGCTTTTTTTTTTTAAACATGAGTTCTTAATGTATCCTCTGGTACACCTAATGAGTGGAACAAGTAGTTTCTAATATGCATTTGAAAAAGTCGATGCAATGTACAAAATTTTTTTTAATTCGCTTAGTGGGGGGTGAAGTCCAACTGGGTCCACTCGGAACAGCAGCCACTGATTGGCCTTATTTATTCTGCCCCGGGTGATTATGATGGAGAATTTGGTGGAATGAAGATTGGCAGGGGAAACTAAAGTACCCAGAGGAAATCTGCCACTGCACCAGTGCCACTTTGTCCACCATAAATATCACTTGACCAGACCCAGGATCGAACATGGGTCGACACGGTGGGAAGCCAGCGACTAACTGCTTGAGCTATGGCACGGCCTAGGCAAGGTACATGTTAAAAATAAATGGCCATTTCATAAAAACAGCCATTCAATTATTTAAACAAAGATATCCTTTAGAACAAACATAACATATGATGGGGGAGGGGGGCACAGTCTCCTACTCACAGAGTACTGGCGGTTCTTTCCTCAGGTGTAAAGTGGCCACTAGGAAGTTGATCAACCAACATCTGGTGCAGACATCAAGAAGGCAATGTGACTTACCTTTTTACTACCTACACACCTCAGAGGTATGATCCTTATGTACAGAAGCAACATTATTTAAAAAAAAAAATTAGGTACATATTACCACATTACATATAATTTCTAACACCAAAATGTAGTTTCCAGAAATGAGTAAACAAAATTCAAAATCTTGTAATAGTTCCAGAAACTGAGTTACAGTAGGCCCTCATTATACTATGGCTTATTCACATCTCTCGATATGATTACACATGTTTTATCATACAAATTTGTATGAAGTGTTTCAGTTATAGTGGGGCAAATTCCACAGTCCACTATGAATTGGCTTAACATTGGGATTATTTTGTTCAAATAGCAAAATTTAATGGGTATCCCTTTAACTTTCTCAACCAGCCTGAAATGTACTGGAGACAATTTACACTGTCATGCAATAACAGCTTTATAAACATGTATTCATGGCAACAGATATGCACACAACACTGGACAAATTGTTAGAAGTGGTCTTTTCTGTCCAGTCTGTGTCAAAGTTATATAAGGAAAACTCGGCCAGTCAGCATATTCATAACAGACAAACCTATCCTCTCGTTAGAGAGGGTGTTACATAAGGACTATGGCTTCACAGGTTTAGTTAAAAAGAAAATCTGGCTGTGAGCCTCAAGGGGCTTGGTGCCAAGATAAAGTGATTGGTGGTAAACTACCAGCTGTAAAGTAACTCTGACTTTGACAGTTGGAGCAATGGGTTTGCTGTGAACTAGCGGGTAAGGTTGTGAGCATACAAGCAGAGTACCTATTGTTGGTATCTGATAGCAATGACCAGTAAAGACACAGCAGACTGAAAAGACTTTGTGTGTGCTGTAGTTATAACTAATTACAGTTATGGTTTATAAGTGCTCAATAAATCCAATTACCAGTCCAAATCCTGTGTGTAGTCACTTATACATTGACCATATCTTAAATTTCATACACATATTTTAGTCACTGTACAAACACTGTACACATAATAAAAGACATTCTAAAAGTAAATGTCAATTTCAGTTACAGTGCAGGTGCACTCCTGTCCCTTGGCAACTGCTATACACTGAGGGTCTACTGCAACAGGAATACTGTGGCGTATTTGTTCCATGCAAGAACGCCTGAGCCACAGAAACAGCAAATTCTAAGCAATACTTGCACACAACAATGGAACAACGGGGTTATGCAAACAACTTCTAGGCAACGTTCCAGTAAACACAACTCCATGCATGCACAATCATGTCAATGGCCCCCCCACCAACAGTGCTTAGCTATCAAATGATGTGTTTTCAGTAGGTGTGCGCAGAAAGTTTATAGGGGACAACAAAGGCCATTTGTGGGCAGTTGTAAGCCGCAGGAGTGAGTAATAGAATTCACTCAGGTTCTGATCCTCCAAGGGACTAGCAGTATGGCCAGAACAAGAATTAGAGGACTTAGTGTGTGACGTTACATGTGCAGTAGTACATCGATATTGGGAGTGTGTAATCTAGTGAGACTTTTATAGTTTCTCTCTTATAAATCTGTTGTCAGGAAATGGATAGTGAAGACTAGTGGAAATAGACTGTAATTATTGTGGAGTGATTGTAAACTATGTAAATCAGCAACAGTGTTATAAGTAACAGTAGACACGACTAGTGAATATCCAACAAATCAATCCACCAATCCAAACCTGCGTTATTAGTCACTAATATATGTGTGACAATATCACGAGTCAGAAACATTACGAGAGAGGGTGGGGGGGGGCCTCCAGAATGAACAGCAATTTTCTACAATGAGCAGATGCAGAGCAGAACACACAGAGCAATCTGATGCTACACTTGCCTTGCCTTCCCATTCTCCACCATCCGACTCATTCTGTGAAACCAAATATTTCCATATGGTTATAAAATCCCACCCCAGTACACACAGCAACAATACATCTTTCACACCAGTTCTACAAATTAACCTGCCTAGTTTTCACAAAATACTGTACCATGCTTTAAACTTTAAAAACAAGATCATGACTTTCTCTTGAAATGTAAGATTTGAGGTTTTCACGGTGGTGACTATGAAGAAAGCAGTCTTCTGGGATTTGGCACCGTGTATATGTGGTGTTAACCGACATTTCAGAGGAACGTATCGCCTCCATCTTCAGGGTAGAAGGAAAAATATGAGAAATCCGCAAGCGAAGAGACCGTGAGAACCAGTAAAAGCAGACTGCTCTTCGCTTGCGGATTTCTTATATTTTTCCTTCTACCCTGAAGATGGAGGCTATACGTTCCTCCGAAACGTCGGTTAACACCACATATACATGGTGCCAAATCCCAGAAGACTGCTTTCTTCATTCTCCTGAAATGTTATACAAATTTTCATCAAGAGGACATCTCAATATTCTATATATGAGGTGTGTTGAAGTAATGAGATTAATTTTGTAGTGCAAAAATCGGCAATACTATGGCACCAATACCATCACGAGATGACAGCTACACCCCTCTTCTACTTTCAGTCCAAGTTTGCACTTGCTAGCATGAATATATGTGGTTCTGCTGTGAATCATGTAGATGTATGTTTTTATAATGTTATATTTTAGCGTCCTGTTGCACTGATTTAAGTCCATGATTTATTTCACCGTCTTTTAGTGCATACACTTATCTACCTCACTCCTTTCTCCTGCACTACATGCTTGGGCACAAAAGTGCCATCTTCAGGTGCTTATTCGATTAACGTCAAACTAGTTCACTGCATGCCTTGTCTTCATATCAAAATAATTAAAATATATATTTATCATATATACCGACAAACATCAAATATTAAAAATATTAAAACTGTTCAGGATTTTTCCTACGTCGTATCTCACTTCTCGAGTCACCTCTAATCTCTTCTGTCGGAGCACTCTTTCTATTATCGTATGTGGATTGTGCTTTATGTTGTGTCTTGCTCCTGTGACTGCGTGTATTATATTGCTGGGCCTGCTAGGTATGTGTGTGTGTGTGCTGTCTTCGTTTTGATTGAGTTATGATGTTCATAACATCATAACTCAACCATGTCAACAATGTGAGGACTTTCAGTAAAAATTTATGTTTGACAATTAAAATGATTGCCAATAAACTCAGTATTGTGACATGTGGCCCTTTTTAGGAAAAGAATTGTTAAACACGTTGTCATGGAGAGATTGATTCTTGGAAACCAATTAGTTACAGAACATGGCTTCCATGGATACGCAAACTGATTCATACATGAATTCAAATCAGCCAGAGATTCAGAAGGCAATTCAACGGTTGACGATTCAGCTGTGAAGTGTTAACCAGATAAGATTTGTTACCAAGCAACAACTATCAAGGAGACACTGAAGACTTTATTTTTAAGGGCTAGAATTACAGAAATCTTTTTGAGTGTTACAATTATTTGCAGTTATGACTTGTGAGTGTCCAATAAATCTATTCATCTAATCTAGAATCCATTATTATTAGTTCTGTTAATCCCGGTCACATAACAATATTAATGAATGTAGCCCACCAAATTGTTACACAAGATTTGAACATAAGAAAAGTGTGTGCAAAGATGATTCCACTAAATGTGAACGATCAAAAAGCAGCTCAAAACGAGGTGTCGGCAGACATGCTTGAACACCTCAAAACTAAACAAGATCTTATTTGGGTTATAACAGGTGACAAAAGTTGGTTTCTCGAATACGACCCTGAAACCAAGAGGGAGAGTGAGGAATGGCACACACCAGTCTCCAAGATAAAAGCAAGCTTGCAAGATCAAATAAAAAATCAAATAATAGTCATTATTTTTTTCATTCTCGAGGAGTGGTTCATAAACAATTTGTAATACCTCATGTCTAACAGAAATGAGTACCAGGAATTAAATATTTTTCCTCGGGAGTAAAGCGCGGCCAGCGCATAAGGTTGACAACCTTACCGCCATCTTTGAGCCGATTGTCTAGATAATGTGTGGGAACCTCAACATCTCACAACCCTATGGGCCTTCATGGCCTGGTACAGGGATACCTTTACTTTACTTTTTTACTTTTACCACCTGGTGTCACAGTAAATCAAAAATATTATCTTGAAGTCCTGGATTGTCTGAGGAGGGTGATGCGAGTTGGAATGAAAATTGCAGATGACTGGATCCTTCGAGCTTCATCACAATGCGCCCACACATAGCATGGTCTTTTCATGAATTTTTGGTGAAAAAGTGCATTCCCTTGCTTCCACAAGCTTCTTATTCTCCAGATGTCAACCTGTGATTTTTACTTTTTCCAAAAATTAAAATCAAGAGTCAAGGGCTATTATTTTCATACATTTGACAGTATTCAGAAGGCTGTAACTGCCAGCCATCAAGACCCTAACAGAAGTCAACTTCCAATCCTGCTGAGGCATGGAAAATTCGCTTGGCCAAGTGTGTTGTATCAGAGGGATGTTATTTTGAAGGGGACAATGTTGATTTAGACAAATAACTGAATAAATGATTTTGTATAAAATTATTCTCATTATCTAACACATCTCATAGTACATGGTCTTCCCTAAGCAGCTAGTTAAGAACTGAGAGCTCATCACACTGTCCATAACTACACCCCAGTGGACCTTATCCTGATACATTTCAACTCAATTTATATATTCAAACCCAGTATATACTACAAACAAATAACAGCACTGAACAACAACTGTAACTGCCTTATTTAGTATTGTATAACCTCTTCACATTCCCAAAACCAAATATCTTTTCAAAGAGCATCATTTCAAAACTAGCATGAAATTCCGAGCAATGTAATGGCAGTACTACGAAAATTTGGAATATGATTTCTAGCAATATTTCTAGGCATGGTAGACATCAGAATGTGTGTGTAAAGTCTGGATGTGACTGTACTCACTATATGTCACCGACAATAAATCTATTCATTCAATCAAACCAATATTTGTCAGATGACTGATCTATCCTATTTGCAAAATTTAATACGAAGCTCCTAATAACACAAACTGTATACTTTACTTGGAAGATACTGAAATATGCTACTAGAGTCAGTCTTGTGACATACCTTGCCTTTACCTTCTCCCTCACTCTGACTGCTGCGTGGGGGTCCACGAGACTGACGAGGTAAACGGCGGCGGTAGCGGGGACGTGGGGGTCTTCCTCCCTGAGGACCATCACCCCTAGGTTCGCGACCCTCACCTTCACTCACGTTCTGCACAACAAGTGAATAAACCCAGTGGTGTCCACCACACAAACACACACACACACACACCTGCGCAAAAGCAGCGGACCAATTTTATTACTCTGGCTACTCACCTGCCCATCCTGGCTACGAGGTCGTCGTGGTGGACCACGCCCTCCTCTAAAGTTACGACGGAAGAAGCGTCGAGGGGGTCCTCCACGTCCCCGGACAATGCCTCGGCTTTCGCCACCCTCAAACTCTCCACCCTCCTTAAGCTCTCCCTGTCGATGACAAAACTACTGAATTTCAAATCTGACTGACAAGAGACATGACCATGCTTCAGTACACATTTCTTATCCGAATAACATCCGATATAAACCCGAAACAGCACGTGCCAAAACATTTCACAATGAACATTCAAACTGCCAAACTATTGTCGCGTATCGGGCGTATATCGCGACAAATAACTTCTCGACGTATTTGATGTAGCGAATTTTATTTCACATTCGCACTTACAATCACCCAAATTACAGATTTACGATTACTGCTATCTGCAGTATCACAATTAGTACACTCCAAATGCCACAATACAACTGACTGGTTGCTGGCTAACTCGGAACTAACGTAGCTCGAGGACTGACTCGTAGGTAGCTCCAGGACTGACTGGTACCAGCTGCGCAGCTCACTTATATAGCTGCAGTGCTTGCCGGTTGCGTAATGAGTGCCACGTCATCCTGTTATGTCACCGCTGTTGACTCGCCTTGCCTAGTTACCAGGTTGCGGGGGCTCGGCTATCTTCGGCTCCGCTCGGCTCTCTTCGGCTCCGCTCGTGACGTCACCGCTCATAGCTGCCAGGATGTGGGGTGATTACTCGCCTATTACGCTAGCGTTACGTTACCGCTGAGGGGTGGGAGGGGAGCGCTGACTCACCCGCCACGTCACTGCTGGTGGGGGGGGCTCGGCTTTGCGCAACATGTCACACTATCTTAGCAATCGTGTTGTAAAATAATCAACATCACAACACATTTCCTTCCAAAGGAAAGTGACGTGGATAAAAATGTCATGTGGTAAGGTCATATTCATACCAGCAGCAGTTGACAATGGATGGATTTAGTGATAGTCTTACAGTGAGTAGTTTCACTAATACATAAATCTAATAGAATTATGCTTAGAAGACTCTGAATAACAACTTTACTTCAAGAACAACTTTAGGTAACTTGTTAAAAAGTAAAAATTAAAAAAAAAAAAAAAAGTTTTAAATAAGGGTCTCATCTTTTCCTTCTAGCAAGTTTGCAATTTATACAGCAACCCAGTCAGCCAGGACATTACTGACATATTGATAACATAACCTACTGAACTGCACTGTACATCAATGGCACAGATACGAGTACATATTACAAGTAACTGTTACAATAAGGTGCACACAATACGTACACCATCTTGGGCTTGAGAATCACGGTTGGCAGGAGGGCGACGTGGCCGGTTAGTGTAATAATTGTTGGGCTCAAAACGGCGGCGGGGTCTATAGCGCCGGGGCTGGCCTCCTTCACGTGCTTCTGTCCCCTCTTCACCCTTGCCATCGCCACTCTCATAACCTAGGGTACAGAAGTCAGACCTATCTATGTAATGACAGTCTTAATATACCTTTTCACTTAATACTTAGCAAGTTTCTCTATCCTATAGGTTGAATTATTGGGGCACACGGTAGTGTAGTGGTTGAGGTACTATGCTACAATCCAGAAGGTAATGGGTTCAAGACTCAATGAGGTCACTGGATTTTTTTCAATTGACCTAATCCTTCCAGCCGCACTATGGCCTCTAACAGAAATGAGTACCAGGAATTAATTAATTTTCCTCAGGAGTAAAGTGCGGCCGGCACGTAAGGCTGACAACCTTACCGCCATCTTTCAGCCGACTGTCTAGATAATGTGGGAACCTCGTCTCACAACCCTATGGGCCTTCACGGCCTGGTACTGGGATAGCTTTGCTTTCTTACTTACTTATAGGTTGAATTATTAAGAACACTTAAGCTTCTCCATGGAATCTAAACATACATTTCTTTAATATGCAAATCTACTGTTCAAGATAAAATAAAAACATTATTGATAATGAAAATCAACTGCTCCTTAGATGCTCTAAAATATATAGGGTTTTCATTGAATACGTATCATGAAAAGTGTATATGCAGTGCAAAGCAAAAATTATACCAACCTTCAGCATCATCACGAGGCCTTCGTGGACGCATACCTCCACCGCCACCACGCCTAGGGTAGAACCATTGGCGATAGCCTCTCCGCTTGTCTGCAGCATATGGAGACCCTTTCACTGGCTCCCCATTCGGACCAGTCACATTTGCAGCCTCATTTCCCTTCTCTCCTACCACCACATCAAACTCTACCACTTCACCATCCCCCACACTTCGTACCGCTTTCTTGGGGTTGTTCTTCACAATGGCTGACTGTTACGAATAATATATATTACTATACTATACATACGTACTTGAATATAGCATTAAAAACTACTAACTATACATGACATATAAATAGAAATAGACTGAGTACAATTGTAAAAATGGTGGGAAGGTAATCTTCTCCACTTCTCTGATAACATTTACAAGACCGTATCACACTTTAAAACCTTCCGATACTTTGTACAAGTCATCCTGCTTAGAAGTACTAGCCTTTCTGTTCTAGTTTTGGAATTTGAAGTCAATCAAGAATCCTCTCATACCATCTCTCAATAGTTAACATCAACAACTTACACATTTAACTCCAAATGAAAACATACAAACAAAACTGTTTAAATGAAAACCAGTATATACACCCTCAAAAACATAGAGGTCAGATTTATTTTTTGAGCTGCAGTGCTGCTATGGTTTCAGGACCCAAAATCAAACATATACTAAAGTCCATCTATTCCATGAACCAGGGTACATCATAAGTACCTTATGGAAGAAAAGCCCTGTGTAAGCATGTCTGAATTTCGCACTGGTGCGTGAACACTGAAGTGCGCTGAAAAAGCAGAATCTAGTAACTTTCTCGTGACATCATGGTCTATGTCACTGACAATACACTATTTTAGATTGTAATACATTGTCATTCCAATAGTACAAGGGGTAAGGCCACACCATAGCTCAAGCGATTAGTCGCTGGTATCCCACCGCAGTGGCCTCGGTTCAAGCGTGGGTCTGGTCAAGTGGGATCTGTGGTGGACAAAGTGGCGCTGGGGCAGGTTTTCTCCAAGTACTTCGTTTTCCCCTGCCAAACTTCATTCCACCAAATTCTCCATCATCATAATCACCCAGGGCAGGCACAATAGGCCAATCAGTGGCCGACGTGCCGAGTGGATCCAGCTGGACTCCACCCCCACTTAGGGAATTAAAAAAAAAATAGTACAAGGGGTATAACAAAAGCACAGAGACTCTCAGTTGCACAGATTTTATAACTGCCAACTCTAAAATATAGTATTTTCAAAAAGTGATCAATGAAACTAAGAAATCAACCCCATGCTCCAAAGTGGCACCAAGAGGAAAGAAAAAAAAAATCTGTTCATTAGTCTCAAAGAGTTTAGGTCTGCAGTGAGGCAAAAAAAAAAAAAAAAACAAACTACGCTGATATTAAAAATACTTTCTGATCACTACAGAAAACTCAGGGGGGAAAAAAAACCTGGGGGACCACAGAGAATGAAGTCAAGGACAAATTTTCTGTATCGATCATTTACTTATATCACAATATTCAGAATTATTGCAAGTTAGCTCTAAGCATCTTACACATCAGCAATTCCCTAACTTTGTGTTACAGCAACACGTAATATACAAATTTGTAATTCTAATTCACAAAATCTTAAACAACAGTGCCACGCATGAACATAACAGCCATACTTCCACTTTTCTTCACACGAAAAAATATACAATATATATCTCAACTATTATATTTTAACTTAGAAGTATCAAATTTCTAACAAGTTTTCACAGGGATTAATAAAATAGAACCAAGAATGAGAAGTCTACATGGAGCCCATGGAAAGAAGTAACATGAATGGCAGCGGTGATGGCTCTCAAGGCTTCTTACTGTTGCATTCCCAACAGGCCAGGAAGTGGAAAGGAGGTTTGGAGGCAGCCAATCCTTGTGACACTTTCTGTGGCCTCCCTACAGCCTTAATGACATTTACAACAAAACCAATTTGAGACAGAGAAGAAATGTGCTTAGCACAATATCAATTTAGAGGGCGAAGTACTACTGAAAACCTTATACTATCAATTAAACTATATATCATGCAGCTGAACACAACAGAACACTGCCCTTCAAATTTAGTAAACATGTGCATCCACTTACTTGATGAACAAACACGTCATCTTTGGTGTCATTTCTGAAAACAAAGTACAAAATTTACATTTCAACCTTTCTGCTACAATCACATATTTGTACTGTTACAATAATTTGCTGACGAAACCATAGCAATTCTTCAAAATACACTACATGGAAATCAATGGTCATTACTACAGAATAATATGTAAAGGTGGAAAAACAAATTGTTTTTAAACACAGAAAAAAATGAAAATGAATCCGGTGAAGATATCAAGGAAATCTGACAACTCAACGTAAGTTACATGACTAGGCTGGGGCAAAGTCCCAGATTAATTATCTGATAGGAGAAACCAAAGGTTCAACACCACAGATACC